ATCCCTTCTGAATTTCTACCCTGTGCTGTAATTCCTTGGATCGCAGCAGAGAAATGTTAGTGCTTCTCCAGTTGTTCCTGCTATGAAAAACATCTTGCTGGAAACAGGATTTTTTTTTTTTTTTCAGATAATCATTTTACAGAATGTGCTGTTGCCTCACTACAAACATCTGGGCAGGTCAGGGCTGAGCTGCCTGCAGCCCCTCAGTCTCCACATCCTCCCCAGGCCTGGAGGAGGTTCTGGGGGTTTCTGTGAATTTCTGTGCTCTGGACACGGTAACTCACTGAGCTGGTGAAGAGCAGAGCATCACCACTTTTTACATCTGTCAAAAAATGTCTCTCTGTCCCTGAAGCGTTCCTGAATAACAGACCATTGCAATTTAGTGTATTAAATTGTCCTCTTAGAGGACTTAATTCAGGCAAAATTTTGGTGATGAAGAAGAGCAATGAAATATATTCAGTGTTCACAGAGGCTGTGCTGCAATTACAGCCAATCCCCCTGGCAGAGCCCAGCCTGCTCCCCCTGGCCCACGAATTAACCTGAATTAACCTGAATTAACAGGTTTTTATTGGCTCTGACGTGAGTTCTGAGCCCCACAGCCCAGCCCTGCCAAGGGAAGCACTGACACAGCACTGACAGATATTCCCTCTACCCTTCCCTAATTAATAAATTAGTCCCCGTTTGGAATACCTCGTGTTTTAAAATGTGGCTGGGAAATTGGGATAAAAAGGAGGCTGCATCCTGCAAAAATTGGAGAGACCCCAGGGGATGCCCCACGGCCTCTCCTCTATTCAAATACAGCCAAAAGGACTCCTGTGTCTCCTTTTTGGACATAAACCTGTGGTGTTTGTGGATGAATTTTCCTGACACATTCATCCTTCCCCTCCTCAGGGCTCTGCTGCCTGGAGCAAAGAGAGATTCCTGACAAATGCAGCGTTCCTGTCTGTGTCCCAGAAAAGGGAAAATCGCAGGTTGATCCAAGAGCTGCCAGTGAATCATCACCTCTGCAGCACGGGGACAACCTGGGCAGGCACAGCAATGTGCATTTTGGAAAAATCTATGCAAAACTCTCTCTTCACAAGTGCCCACCTCCGAGAGGCCTCTGGGGACATTTGGGGCTCTCAGTTTGGAAAATGTCAGCAAAACAGCACATTTCACTCCTGGGCCTCGGGGATCCTCCCTGCTGCTGCTCCAGCCTCACCAAAAGCCCAACAGAAGGAAGATAAACCGCTTGGAAATAGCTTTAAAAGGAAAATATGATAAAATATTCAGGAGAACATCTAAGAGATGTATTCTAGGAAATGTTTAAGAATTTAAATCTTTCCTTGCTGCTCCCATTCACGGCTGTAAGTGGGTCAGAGATGCTGCACTCCTCTCAGCCCCTCAGAGCCTGAGCTCCTCCATTCTGATATCAAACCATCAATCCTGAGCTCCTCCATTCCACTGATATCAAACCATCAGAGCCTGAGCTCCTCCATTCCACTGGCACCAAACCATCAAACCCCTCAGTTATCTCTGTGTGGACCAGCATCAAAAAGCAAAAACCACAAGGGAATTGTTGTTGCTGAGCACCCGAGTGGAAAATCAGCATTTCACCCCAGTGTGCTGCAGGCTGCACGAACACACCAGAGCACAAACACACCAGAGCACACACAAACACACACCAGAGCTGAAACACACAGCAAAACACACA